ATGCGGGGACAATGGGTTTCGCGTCCGCGGCGGCGGTTTGTAACCGTCCTTAGTACGGTTTTAACTTATCGAAATGAGTGGTGAAGGTGAGTCCATCGGGGCTTGAATCATCATGTTATACGTGCATGGTGGGTTGTATGACGTCGCGAACACAAACGGCCCTTCCCACGGGTTGAAGATCGTTGTCGACGTCCCAAAGGGTGGCACCGGTCGGAAACGCCAAACTAGATCGCCTAGTTAGTAGGAGGTGCCGTGGTCCTGGAGGTCTAAATATGTTTTTTGCCGTTCAGCGGCTGCTCCTAGGTGATTCCGTGTGAGGGTTTAGGTGGAGCGTAGCAGATTCTGTAGCTACCATGCGAAATTATCTGGGGCGTATTCGCTTTCCGCGGGTTGTGCGAAACGCGAGTCTGTTGGAAGGCGAAATTTGCGCCCTGTTAGCATAAGGAAGGATGGGTAGCCAGTCGACATATGTATGTTAGCTCGATACACCATCATGGCACACGGTACGCCTTTACCCCACTCGTGGGAGTGATGGTCTTCCGCAAAGGCCTTCACCAGTTGGTTTAGTGCACGGTTGATTCGTTCGACTGACCCGTTGCCCGCGGGATGTGATGGAGTGGTGGGGGTTTTGTAGATATCAAGGACGTCGCAGACTCCTCGCAGCAGTTTACTGTCAAAGTTAGCCCGCCGTCGGAATGTATCGACAACCGTACGGCGAAACGGCATATCCATTTGTTGAAAATGGCATTGGTGAGCCTTACTGCGTCCTCTCTTAATAGCCGTATAGCTTCTGTTCATTTGGGGAACTAATAAATCGTAGCCAGTATGAACCGATGACCGGTTGTTGTAAGTGGGAGGGGGCCGGTGATGTCAAGACCCAGCCGCTGGAACGGAAAGTTAGTGTGCATTGGCTGCAACGGTGCTCGTGGTAGTTGTCGAGGTGCCTTAAACTTGGCGCAAGTGTTGCATATATTGCAGAAGGTGGGTACGTGTTCGCGTGTATGGGACCACCAAACTCGTTGCCGAGCGGTGACTTCTGTCTTGGTTTGCCCGACGTGGCCTAGCTCATTACGGAGGTCCGTGAGAACCGTGGGCACGAGGCTTCCTGGTACTACTACCCTGTCGGTTCTTGTAACTTTGTCCTTGATTAGTACGATATCCTCGTCAACATGCAGTCGTAACTACTGACTCCGCAGTTTATGTGCTTCTTCGGACGATCCACGCAACTCGTTATTCGTAGGACGGTGCTGTCGCTGTAACAGGTGGTCGTAAACTACTGCTTTATCGGTGTCCGTGCTCTGGGCTATTGCCTTATGATGTCTAGTTGGCTCGCTGGCGTAAATAGCGTTGATTTCGACTTAGCAAGGTCTGAGTCAAGTGTGTCGGAAGTTGTTGGCCGCCGGGACAAGGCGTCGGCGTAGCAGTGTTGTTTCCCGGGTCGGTATATACAGGTGAAATGGTATTCCTGCAGCATTTCCTGCCAGTGGGCAAGTTGACCTTCTGCGTCCTTCCTGTTTTGCAGCCATTGTAACGCCTTATGATCAGATCGGATGACGAACTGCTGACCTAACAGATAAAAACAGAACTTGTTTAACAAAGGTGATTATGGCAAATGGTTCTCGTCGGTATGTGCAATAATTCAGTTGTAGTTTGGTTAGCGTTTTGCTGACGAAGCAGATAACGCGATCCAGGCCATTGTCATCGACTTGCGATAGAAGACCTCTCATGGCGAAAGCACTGGCATCCGTGTCAACGACGAAGGGTGGCGATGTCTCGGCGGTGTTGGGGAGCATTAGTATCGACGTTGTTGACAATCGGGCTCTGAGTTTATCGAACGCAGTCTGGAATTCTTACGTCCAAAGAAACTCGCGCCTTTTTCTGTAAGGCGGTGTAACGGGCACGCAACGCCCGCGAAATCGAGGATGAATCGCCGATAGTAGGACGCCAGCCCGAGAAGGCTTCCGACGTCCGTGGTAGAGTATGGTGTCGGCCAAGTGCGTATATGGCTTGAACCTTTTCGGACGAGACTTAGATACCCGACGGGCGGACTTTATATCCTAGATAATAAGCCTTCTCGCGAGGGAATTGGTACTTCTGTGGGTTAGGCATAAGGCCGTCTTCGCGCAGCGCTAGGAGTACGGCACGTAGGTTGTCGTTATGCTGAGCGCTGGTTTTCCCAAAACAATAACTTCGTCAACATATATGAGGCATTGATGTGTATAAAGGTCTGACACCACTACTTGAATTAGCCGTTGAAACGTGGCGGCCGCGTTACATAGACGGAAGGACATCGTTTCGAACTCGTATAACTCTTGCGGCAGAATGAATACCGCCTTTTGGCGGTCTGCCGGTTACACATCCACTTGCCAATAGCCGGACTTTAGGTCTAAAGTGGAGAACTACCTGGATTCGGCAAAGGCGTCAAGTTTACATTCAATACGGGTAGGGAAAACGAATCCCATGTGATCACTGCATTCATGCGTTTTTAGTCGATACAGAAGCGTATTTTGACGTCTTTCGTGGGAAATAATGTTACTGGTGATGCCCAAGGAAAACGAGGTTTTGTTATGCGCGTAGCCAACATGCTATCTAATAACGTATCGAATTCCTTTTGCAAATGCGCCGGTAAACGCCGTGGGGGTCGCCAAATGGTCTTTGCTTCGCCCGTTTCAACTGCGTGTCGTAAACAACCGGTACTGCCCAGCGTGTACTCGTCCCATGCGAAAACATCGTGAAAACCAAGAAATATCCGTTTGAGTGATTTCGTCTCAACGTCGGTCTGGTCTCCTGTGGGTAATATATCATTAATGGACGTCGGTATTATCTGTACTGCCGCTAGGATTGCTGCACGGCCAGCCGTTTCGCCTACGATCGAGGGCTTCGCCTGGCCTTCCGCGCCGGTTTGTTTGAACTCGACTCTTCTGTTTCGTACGTCGATGCGGCACCCGTAACGAATTAGAAAATCGGTCCCGAGGAGGATGTCCCACGTGAGGTGGGGTGTTACGATGAAGGCGTGTTCGGCTATGAAATAGAGAAGAGGGACAGTGAGCTGTATGGTCCTGTGGTGCGTTAAAAGTGATCCGTCTGTCGAGGTCAATCTTACTAGTCTGGGAGCCTCATTTCGCTAGCGATGTGTACATGGCTGTAAAAGTCGGCGGTTAACTAGGGACACTGTCGCTCCCGTATCAATCAACGCCCGTACCGTCTTATCAGCTACAATTACTCTGCATAAAAGGGGGCAGCTGATAAAGTAGTACTTTAACAAGAATTAATAGAGACAGTTCCCGTTTTTCTTTGACGAGAATAGACGTGTGCGCGGGGAAACGGTTGTCCAACTGGCCGGCGAAATGTTTCATCCCGACGATTGAAAGGCTGGCGGGGTAATAGGTGCCTCGTCCCGCGGCCGTGCGGTGTCCATACCGATCGTGTGTGTCTGCGGAAGGAGGGGGACAGGAGCCTGATGGATACAATTGAAGATAGCGTTCGGCCCTGGCGGCGGCATTTTGTATGTCGTCCGGGGGCTGCAGCAATAGTGAGCGTGACAGTCCGGGCGAAGTAAGGGCTTTGATGAAATAATAGGGTACCGTATTGTCCTTATCCTCAGTTCCCAACGTGGGAAGGGCCACGGTCGTGAGGCGCTCCAGGTCCTCCACCAGCTGATTCAGGGTTTCATATTGCTATAGTCTTCGTTCATGTAACTGCTCTATGGCGTCTCCATAAGAGCAAGTTTGCACGAATAAATTTGCTAGGCGTCTAGCCCTACGTCAAGTGCTTTATACAACTGTTTAGGCGCGAGGGCATTAAGTAATGTCCGTGATATGTCGACCACTGAGACCTCCTGGAGGTAGAACTTTCCGCGTCGGAGCCATACTGTAAAAGCCTCGGTGCCGTCGTACCGTGGTACCTCAACGGCGCGTCATATGCTTAGATTGTGTCCAGACGCTACTGGGAGCTGTGAATACGGTCGTTGCGCTGCCACAACTGTTGTAGGCGGACCATACTGGTGTTCCGGCTGAAGGTCTAGTTCCAGACTAATGTCTGCTGGTTTAGTGCAGCAGGATAGAGACGATTTTGCTTTCCCCCTTCCTAAACGGTTAGTCTTAGATTTCCCCATCATGCGCACAAACAAAATCTCAACGTACAGGTATGATCCGAGTAATCAAAGAAAGTCCAAAAAGTAAACGATATACTGTGAGAGGGTGGGGATATAGAAATAGGGGAACGAGAAGCGTCAGAGACGCAGGTAAGACTCGTGGAACAGAAGGGGAGGGAAAATGCTTGGGGATCAAGAAGGTGGTTGAGGTGACGCGATATCCACAGGACCCTGGAGGGTGTTCGACTTAGTCCTCTGTCCCCATCTGAAAACGCCAAAAGAGAAGACGCACAAACTTAATCCCGCTGGACCGTTTTTTTGTTCTTTTTAAACAAGCCCGTCTTTTCGGTTTTACAGGATATACGATCAAGTGAACTCCTTAAAAGATAGACGAGCGTCATTTCGGAGCCTTTAATCAAAACCCTGTGCTTGGGTTCGTGCTTTTATGCTAGACTGATATAACCTGAACTTACTAGTCTGGCTATCAGACGAACTTTGTACCCGTTCTCCCCTTCCGGGCTTTTTCAATTTGACTTGATTTTCCTCTTTTTGCTTCCCTTTTGGGCCTTTATTTCTGAAATTTACTACAGCTTTTCCATCATCCGTTTATCATAGCTGTTCTCACAGTTCAGTGGAAACCATCTGACAACTTCGATCAGGTTTCCTTAATTAGAACTACCATTGGCTTTTACATCCTTTCCCCGAGAGGTTTCGATGGGTCTTGGTTGACAACACGTGTTGTACATCACTGCTACGTCTAATTTCGCTAAAAAGGTACCACAATGTCCTAGCAAATCACTGACGCATACTTACGTGCTTGGCACTCCTTAAGCTTCTGATTTGTTACTTTCGCGTCTAGGCATTAGGTGAGTTACGCTGCCGTCCTTGTTTGTGTTGCCGTAAACAAATGGTAGGTCTGTCCTCTACAATTCAATTTTCTTCTGTTTAGTCCACTATCTCGAAGAGACCAGCAGGCACAGTTCATTCTAAGAAACAATCAGACTTCGCATCAAGGCCAAACGCTGCTGCCGAGGTTCTGCACCTCCTATAATCTATATGCGTACTCTAACTTTTTAGACGCAGGAAATTAAAGATGCGTTTGACCTGTTTGATGTAGACAAAACTGGTTTTATCGACACTAAGGACCTAAAAGTTGCCATGCGCGCACTTGGTTTTGAGCCGAAAAAAGAGGAGATTAAGAGACTAATTTCCGAATACGATCCCGAGGCTAAAGGTTCTCCACGCTAACTCAGCCCTAACAGACCCGATAGGTCAGCTAGCCTATGCAGATTTCCATCGAATGATGTCAGTAAAGATGCAAGATAAAGATGCCCGAGAAGAAGTCCTAAAAGCTTTTCATCTGTTTGACGATGATGAGACTGGGAAGATATCCTTCAAAAACCTCAAGCGTGTTGCCAAGGAATTAGGTGAGAATCTGACCGACGAAGAGTTGCAGGTACTTCGACTAATTCTCACAACTTCCAGGAAATGATCGATGAAGCCGATCGCGATGGTGATGGCGAAGTTAACGAGGAGGAATTTTTGCGTATAATGAAAAAAACGAATATGTATTAATATTGTAAATTGTTTGGTGGAATCCTGGGTAGCAAAAAGTGGCTTTGTTTTAAAGCTTTTCTGTACATATCACTTCATAAGTTTATGTATATACGCAATTCGTTCCTTCTTTTGCCAAATTTACCGTGTTCGCCACGCCTCCGTCGGTTATCTACATCATAAGAACCGTTCCCAATCGTTTTGTAGCTCGTTCGACATTTCCTCCCCATCGTAAGTTTTGACTTTTTAGAAAGCTTACTAAATGCCGCGAAATCAGCTTACGCTCACTTGGAAATCGTCTCATGATTCCAACTGTCGTTTACTTCTCAAATTGTAGAAGATCTGCGAGACCCGGATCTTGCGGGTTTTCAATATTGTCAGATTTACCCTTCCGGCGCCCTCATTTAGCAGTGCTTTGATTCAGATCCCTAAGCAGTGGTGTGCATATTAGGCTGGTCTCTGGTCGATAAAAGCAAAAATGATGACGTTAGTCATCGAAGTATATCCCTACACCAAATATGTTGACGTTTCCGTGCGCCTTTGCATACACAATTTCAGCTACGGGACCTCGCATGTCTGAACAAGTTTGTCCCCAGAGACCTACTCGTTCCAGCCGACCGCACTTCATAACTTAAAGTATCATTTTTTCGTGTCAGATCGGGAGGTGAGGCATCTTGTCCCGACACTTAGTGACAATTAAGTCGTTTGTTTGTGGCTCAACTAGAGCGCTCTCTCAATGGTTTACTCTAAAGTTACGCCATCTTCAATTGGGGACTGTAATTGCACTCCGTACGGCCTATTTACAGTATCTCTTGCGCTTTAAATTCTTCAAGGAATTAATCAGCTGGGTATGACATCTTGGATTTCGTGGACACTATATCGGCGGTACACTTGCTTGTTGAATAACTGACGTGGTGCGCATTCCGAGGTGATATAGTAAAAAAAGAGAAGGCTCTTCAGAAAGTCGAGTTGTACTCGTGAATTTCCAAGTTGGCGACACCAACCCGTCGTCAGACGAAATAAACAGCGGAGAAAGTAAGATCAGCAGACTAGGTCGGTTGGCGTGACTGGGTTGGTGTCACCAATTTGGAAATTCACAAGTACAACTCGATTTTCCGAAGAGTCGTCTCTTTTTTCATTACACTTATATGTGTTTGATTTAACTTCCAAGATATATGTGGAAGACCTGCTAAGAAACCCATGCTGAGACGACCAGCCGGTATCTAGTGGCCTTCAAAGATGATAACGCCTAGAATTTTAAAAGCCAAAGTGCTGCTTGTGATTTCGAGACGTATTTTATTTAAGTGAACAGGCTTTTGGAATGGCAAATCTTCTCCGTTCTGGTTTTATGTGTCGAAAGTTAGCTAGTCCTCTCCTCCAGACGGAACTTGCCAACATGGGCGCAACATTAAATTGCCTAACTTTTACCAGTTTGGCCAACAATTGAACTTTGCACGAAGTAGATGAATTCAACAAACGGGAGTCTTCCTTTTTTCTGTTAACTATAGACCTTTCTTATTGTCTGTTGGCTGGAGGCTCAGTGTTGTATCGCCCAATGTCAGGTAGGGCTCGAGGTAAGCTAGGGAAGGAATTTCGAAAATAAATTCCTAAGTGGTTCTTAAGGATATCAAAGGGTACCAAATAACCCGCCCTAACCCTTGGCGCATGTTGTACTTCTTGCCGGATTTTTGGGGTATTCCGAGGGCCTTCTGTGACTCGCACTCGTTTCTTTAGCGAATTTCACTGGTGTTGCCGTCGAAACTGGCAGCGAGGTAGAAGTAAGTTAATCTTGTGCTGGCTTTTTGCCAGTAAGTGTCGGGCTAGTCGAGATTCGCACACGTCACAAATCCCTGTTCGTTTCACTAGTCACGAAACGGCTCTTAAATTCTGTTTGCTTTCAGGTCAATATACAAGGGAGATGACCCACATAGCCACCGATGTGGTAGGAGGATATGTCTGCCAAATGCTGCATTGAAGACTACCAATTTCGGTGAAAAAGGCATCAGGCACGGCGAAGCAGGTGTTGGAGTCCTGTTCCGTCACGAACTTTTTTTCTACTTGGTACGGCTGCTATCATGCCCGATCTAGCCGGCCTCGATGATGTCCCGAACTGTCTCTCCACACCTGACGATCCGCGGCGGCAGACCTAGATGTTTCAACCCATTCTCCTCGCCAATGACGGAGACCGAATACCGAAGGTCCGAAAACCACCTCTATATCTTGACGGACTGTGTCAAGGGAGACTGAGTTGTCCCCCTTTTCGACGCCACCAATGGGCTAACGGTGACGGATTGAGGGCAGTAACGCTGAGCTCCTTAGATGGACGACGAAGAACATGCCCAAACCACCTTATCTTAGATGGCCTAGGTTATCCTTGCGATGCTGTTGCAGCGAGTGCGGACCGTCTCATCTAAGAGGAAGTCAATGTAGTTTACTCGCAGAATGGTCCTCAAACAGTGGTGGCCAAATGCCTCCATTTTTTACTCTTCCTTCACGTGCACAGCCCAGCATTCACAACCATAGAGAAGGGCAGGTTGAACAGATGCACGGTACACGCGAATCTTAGTGGCGGTGGAGATGTCGCGTCGAATTCATAGGCTTTTCCTTAGGCTCGAGAAAACCGGTCGGGCAGCATCAATTCGGGAGACAATGTCGTCCTTACTCTGTCTATTCAGCAGCAGCCTCGCCCGAGATATTTAGAACTGCCTACTTCTTCAAGTTGGCAGCCATCAATCCCGAGAGGGACCTTCTCCTGGTCAGGGATGCAGCTTGAAAACACTTTAGTCTTCCCAACGTTTTCAGATAGACCGACCGATTTAGTAGCCTCGTTCACTCGTGAAACCATAGACTGCAGATCACCAAAACTTGAAGCGAGTAAGGCGATATCATCAGCATAGTCGCGATCAGTCAGGCGGTGCCTAGGTGCAACTTCAACACTGCCACCTTTGTGTAGGGCCCTCCCGAGAATTCAGGCAATGGCGTAGTTGAACAGAATGAGCGACAGGATACAACCTTGTCGAATGCCAGACCGAATACCAAACGGTTGGGAAAGGTGGTTACAGACCAGGACTTGCTCGGTGGTGGAGCTATAATAGGCATTGATCATGGCGATAATTTTTGCCAGTACGCCATTTAGTTCCATTATCCGCCTCAGGGACTCATGATAGACGGCGAAGTTGGGAGAGCAGACGACCGTCGGTCGCTGGTAACCATAGCGCCTCGGTGTGAATATCTGGTCTGCACGTCCACGTCCGCCCGGGGTCCGACTTGGTTTGGCCTTGTTCTAGAGCCACACACGGCCTGGAATCGCCTGAGTAGGACAATGGCAAAGATCTTTGCAGCAACGTCGATGAGGCTTATGTCGTAGTAGTCCTTGAATCTTGTCATATCTCCCTTCATGAGGATAGGTACAAGGATGCCTGATACCCTGTCACCAGGAGCAAACTTGTTTCTCCACGCTTTTTCAACCACCTCATGGAGCCAGGACGTCAGTGTCGACACGACTTGTAGATTTCAGCGGGCATACCGTCCTCTGCGGGTACCTTATTGTTGCGTAACCCTCATATAGCATCGGCGACTTCTTCTTTAGAAGGGGGGCCGCGTGACACTGTATAGGCTGGAGAGGGAAGAAACTCCGCTGCAGAGGAGAGCAAGGACGAGGTGGGCTGGGTATCGAGGTGGACATGGTGCTTGAAATGCTCATGCCATCGCTCGACTTTGGCCGAGTTTCCAACAATAAAGCCGTCATTCCCGTCGCGAACAGAGTCACTAAGTGCAGATGGCGTACCACTAACTTGGCGGATAAGTTGGTAAAGTTTTCGAGTGTTACCAGCATTCGAGGCCTGTTCAATGGAGGTCGCAATTCGAGCCCGATATTGTTTCCGATCATCCCTGGCTGACTTTGCCGTCATCTTTCGAGTTTGGCGGAAGGAATTATCATTACGGGGCCTGGATCGAGCCGTCTGAGCAGACCACTGCAGTGTCCTTCCGCTAATCCAGTCGCTGCGGCGTCGCTAGGAATACCCAAGAATTTTTCGGCTGCCCCATAAACCAAATTTTTCCATGACAACCACTGGTTACTGCCTTCCCCGTCGGCTCGGGTCATAAAACAGGACTCAATTTTTCTGCTCTGGGCCTCGGTAGTGCTGGGTTACCAGATTTTTGCGACATCGAGGCGTCTAGGACATGACTTTGCAACAGCAAGGAGTACGCTTATATCAATTATTAAGTGCCTAAGCCATTAATCAAAATAAGTTTATACATGCAGCAACATTTGGACGCTATGTTAACACTGCAGACTACATAAGTAGATCGTTCATCCATGAGTGCATTAGACTGTTAATACAAAAACGCATTGTGAATGTTCACCCATATTCACCGTTAATGCGATATTTATCAGAGTGACAACGTACGTTTTCGGTAATCAGCACTGACAAAGGTTAGGAAGAGCAACATTTTCACTTCTGGGTGTCGTCAACATCAACCGGTCTAGCGCAAACTCCAGATCAATATGACCTGAGATTTCACGGTCGGCCTGACTGATCATCGGGTCCCAAAACAACCTCTAGCATCCGCATTCCGCCCCACTGTCAGGACGCATGGACGAATTTTACGTCCATGGGCTTCATTTTGAGATTGCTGGCTCCTCGAAGTACACGATTCTATCTGCATGTCCTGTTTTTAAGGGTTGACTTGCTGAGGGCGGACATGTAGCCTATCTTGCAGATTTTACCCATGACAGCAGAAAAGGCCATCTAAAGAAATCTTGGAGCCCGGGCCCAAATTTAGAAGGGCATTTGAAAGATTATTTTTGCTTATTTTAGGTGGCGTTAAAGCCAAACCAGTGAAGGTCGACCCACTATAACTCTTTATTCATGTTCACATTAATTAATCAGCTTTAGATTTTTATATGGTGTAATCGTAGAACTGAAGGAGGCACTTTATCCTCAACGGGGAGGGATAGCTGATGGTCCACTAGTGATAACGTCAAAACATATTTCAGTGTTTTAACTTTACGGCAGATATAGACTGTCAGGGATCAGTTCTTACCAGAAAGCCCTAATTTTTGCCCAATCAGGGCCATTTCTGCGGAAAAGAAAGCGGTGTCCACAGGGTGCACGTCAGTGCGTCGGAATTTCGCATAATCTGTAGCACTTTTTACAAGGAATACGACTTCGTTCTTGTGCAAGTATGAGGTCTGCCTTGAAATTCAGCACAAATTGCCACTCGGGGCGAATATTATGCTCGCCTTCTGGGTTAGGTGGGGATGGAGATATCGATTAGCCGTTCAGTTTTGAGGTCTACACCTTACAACTCAGGGACAGCGCCCCTGTAACACAGCACGAAAGTGAATGTGTTCTTGAAGTGAAGTGAAGGACCTCACTTAGGCGCGGACCCAGGATGGGGACGATGTAATGGAATGCTAGTGAAGATGCCAGTGCCCCTGCCATTCCGAGCTGCCGACTCTCAACCCTGCAGCTAGCCTTGTATCGGGTCGCTCTTCTTCCTCTCACTCAATGTCAGCCTTTCCACGTTCTTCCCCCGCAGCTGCCTTCAGCGCTGCACTCTCCATTGGTAATCTTACAGACACGGTAGAATGCTCACCCTCGAGAAGAGACCAATTCGCATGTAACACTTCTTCTTATTATTATGTACTGTACATTTGTTACACATTTACACGGCTATTGTCATAGTATAGTTTTCATACAGCTCGGATACTTGTTCTTATAACTTCTGCGTATGTACGTTCGGCGTGGCGCCTACAATTCTGTTCGGTATTCCGACGGACCGAAGGTCGACCACAGGCGGTTACTTATCCATGTGTGCGCCAACCCCAACGTCTTCAGCCGCTGCACCCCGAACGACGTTGTAACTCGACGGCCTGGTCCTGTCTGGCAGCACACGTTTTTGGAATTTGTGAGCTCTACTTTACCATAATGCGTCATAATTAAGAAATATTTTGATTAATCGAAATAATTTAAAATGCACCAATTTAGGGCACAGTGCAGCATAGAACCGTGTTTAGTATTTAGTCTTTATATTAACTTGGGGAACCGTAACTAACACCCATGTTTAACCGACTGCTTATGGCGAATTTTTCGTTGGCAAAAATTCATTCTTCTTACGGGTGCTTTTAGCCGACTTGAGTAACACATTTGATCGATTTTTAAAAAACTCGACTACCTCGGTGGAGTTCGAACTCACGAAAGCAGGGCCAAACTTCGAGCACAACCAAAACTCTAACCACTTGAGCTACGAGGCGTCGGTTAGGGGCTATGTATTCTACCACAGTCTGGCCAAGTTACCCCCCCTCCTGCCCCCAGCCTACCGCAACGTAGGGAATGCACTTGTAGCGGCCGAGGACGTCAAGGGTAGCACACACCACGTAACGGAATACCGAGGAAGAGATCCTGGTTTGTGTTGATCTGAATACGATTGTTAGCAGTTCACGATACTCATCCATACATAAAGGAAGAAGGAACGATCGGTGGACAAGAAGATAGAATGAACAGAAAAGGGAATTGCAAGGAGTATAATGACAGTTAGAAGTACAAGCGAGATGATTTACAACAGTCGAGTGACCTGTCTGGGTGGAGAGGCGAGGCCAACATGCCAGCTGGACAACCGGTGGGGAGCGCAGCGCTGGGGGCAACTGCAGGGAAGGGCCAAGGGGGTTGCCGATGTAGTGAGGGCAGCGATACGAACGTTACGATACGATACGGAGCGGGAGAGGGGATCGGCGGAAGAGAGTGGAAGGGACACCGGCCATCTTCACCAACATGCGGCTACGCCATCTCCATCCTAGGCCCACGCGCCAAAAGTGTCACGGCATTCAAACAACCATGCCCAGCTCAGGGGACGTTACACACTAATTCTGATACGGTTAATTCACTATCCAAGCAGGATTTCCTAAGCAGTCAATCAAGAACCCGCCAGATGACTTCCAGACTCACTTTATTCTTCCGTCAATTGGGAATACTCCCATAGCCTGAAATGTCTAAATGAATACCACGAAATCCCATATCAGCCCTTCAACTTTAACATTCAGATAAGTACCCAAAAGCAACATAAACATGAGACGTCACCTAGAAGTCCCTGCTTTGAGTAGCAATCTGTGCAGCTGGGCAGCCAGGATGAACTTCTAAAAAACATTTTTAATCTTAAGAACCCATAATTCTCTGGGAGAACTGTAACTAAATAAACGGAACCACAATAGGCATAAAGCTGTTATATGCATCGCGGAGTCCGGATTCCGTAACAAATAGTTAGTCACAAGTGCTAAAACATCTAGTTTGGTGGCAGGAAAATCTGACAGTTCGGCCGTCGTTGCCGGTGATGTTCGCTGTTTGCCCCACAGAATGGTGGGAGCAAGGTCGATGACTTGCATATAAATTAATTTATAGCTCTAGTGGACTTGCATTGCACCTACCACATTCTATCTTCCTTCAGCCACCCGGACTCGGTATCAAAACAGAGTCAGGGAGACCGGAGGCAGGATCTGTTCCTTAGACGGAGAGACTAAACAGCCTATCTGCGCGTACCGCACACGTCTGGTCGGCGCAGATTGACCAGGAATTCACTAAAAACAAAGGGATGGCTCGGGGCCAAATTGAGTGGAAGTGTCATGAAGATCACATTAAGAGGGAGCTATTTCAGCCAGATTCTCTGTCCGGAGAGGAGGATCGAGCTATCCGGTCAGTCGGCAGCCGCCTAGGCTACGGCTTTCAGCACATTATGATAGGCTAAATGCGCATCGGATTGCTTATAGTGGGG